GTGCGCGATGGGGACCCTGCGCGCCGGCGCCTGGGTGCTGGTGCTGGCGCTGGTGCTGCCCGGCGGCCCGATCCACGCCTTCCCCAAGCCCGGGGGCCGCGAAGGTAGGTGGACGCCGCTGCTCTCCCCGCCGGCCCGGATCGCCCGAGAAGGCGGAGCTGCGGGTCCCGCAGCTGCAGGTCACCCCGCCTCGCTCCTCGGACGCGTCCTCTCCGCGCACCCTGGCAGAGCGGTCAGTCTGCAAGTGCAGGCGGAAGACAGGACCCCCGCGATAGAGCAAGAACGACAGGGGTTGTTTCTAAACAATAGCACGGGTTGTTTGTTTTGAAGAAGGAAGGGAGTGGCTGTTCTGTCTAAAGGCTTGGCTTTTTTGTTCCAGTTTTACAACCTTCTCATAGTCTATTCATAACGTGTGCGGTAATGAGGATAGAGCGTCCAGTGTGCCCGTAATGCCAATCCAAATTATGCTGGCTCTCGCTGAGAAGAGCTGCCGAGCCAAGTGTTAGAACTATGTTAAATTTCTGGTCAGGGAAAAAGATGGGATTCTGTTAACTCGGAAGTTAACTCGGGAAATGCACCAGCGTAATAGAAGGGCCGCGCTGACAGTCACTGGCCCTGCGTGCTGTTGGTGGTCGATGTTAACTTATATTGTGTTTAAAGGCATCCAAAAGTGTTTCTTCTAATATGTGTTTTCTCTTTCCTTTTTAAAAAAATATTTCAATGAGAGACATGCTGTATCTTTCCAATGCATAATTAAATTTGTGTATGCTTATTCTAGACAGATCTCTACGTAATAGAGAATTAAGTGCAGAAAGACCTCTGAATGAACAGGTAAGTCAGAAATATATTGTGAATGCCATTTTGTTTTGCTTTAGTCATTATCATTGTTATTGTGCTGTGACGTTTTTGCCATTTTAAATTTACAAACTGCAAGAGTTTAAAAGTAAACTAACAGAAATTAGGATGGTAAATCTAGTTCTAGTAATTTCTTTTTTTGTTTGTTTTTTTTTCCGGTACCGGGAATCGAACTCACGACCTTGCGCTTGCCAGGCAGGCGCTGTGCCGCTGAGCTAAATCCCCAGCCCCTAGTTCTAGTAATTTCTATGCCTTCACAGTTATGTATCCTGAGCTTTGTATAATAATACACCGGACAAAGTGTATAATAATGCAGCGAACCCAATGTCACCACCACTCTAAGATTGCTTTATTTACCAGAGATTTATCTTTTACCACTATTCTAGGAGAAAGGAATTAACACTTATAGAGCATCTGCTCTTTATTTCAGCACATTTAACCCTTACAACAGTGCTTTGAGATAGGAATCATTACCCACATTTTCCAAAGAAAACCCAAAAACTGAATCCATAGAGATTAAATCCTTTAGCTCTTGAACTTGGTAGTGAAGCAATGGTTTAAAACCAGCTCTGTCTCTTCCTTATGTCACAGATTGCTGAAGCAGAAGCAGACAAGATTAAAAACATGTACCCTCCAGGTAAAGAGAAATCATATCAACATTAATTTAAATAAAATAGGCTATGAGAATCTGTGCTAAAGTGGATATATTTGGCTTGGGACATTTTTTTCCAGAAAACAAGCCAGGTGAAAGCAATTATTCTTTTGTTGATAACTTGAACCTGCTAAAGGCAATAACAGAAAAGGAAAAAATTGAGAAAGAAAAGCAATCCATAAGAAGCTCCCCACTTGATAATAAATTGAATGTGGAAGATGTTGATTCAACAAAGAATCGAAAACTGATCGATGATTATGATTCTACTAAGAGTGGACTGGATCATAAATTTCAAGGTAAATGATACAAAAGAACTGTTTTCTACCTAGTTTTTCTAATTTGGAGTTTCTGATTATAGGTTGAAAGTTCCGTATTTTTAAAATATCCCTTATATATTCATAAATTTTATTAGTGAAATTGAGATAAAGCCCAAATTTACAGATAATTTGCAAAAATTCTGCTCCATAACATCTTGAACTTTATTTTCTCCTCAAGGATTATTTACTGATGCTTTGATTCTTTTCTTTTTTGGTACTGGAAATCGAACTCAGAACCTTGCGTTTGCCAGGCAGGCACTTGTGCCGCTGAGCTACATCCCCAGCCCTGATGCTTTGAAAAAAATTTAAAATTTACTATCTTATATTTTACGGTATTAGATTCATTTAATATTTCAGTTTATTTTAGCAATTAACAAAAATATCAATAATTCTCAAATAATTAGATCCATGAAACACTCCCCAAAAGTAAAATATCACTGCTTTTTCAGTATTTTCCTCCTAGGTATATCCTTTGATCCTCACCTTTCTGTGGCTTTGTTTGTCATCTGTACCCTAACATACCCAACCACTCACTCCAACTTTTCTGAGTTGGAGACCTGTTTGTCTGTGTAACCTGACATCTTCCCTTGGAAGTCTCAGATGCCCCTTAGATTTAGCATGTCCAAGGTTAAACTAATGATCTCTATCCACCTCACTAGTCCTCTCAGCACGTTTGTTTGTTTGTGACAGGGTCTCTCTTTGTAGGTCAGCCTGGTCTTGAACTCACTGTGGAGCCTAGGCTGGCCTCAAACTTACAGCAGTCCTCCTGCCTCAGCCATCTGAGTGTTGGGGCTACAAATGTGTGCCGCCATGCCTGGCTCAGCGTAAGCTTTCTTTAGGAAATATGCTGCTATCCACCCAATTTCTCAAGACTGAAATCTAGAATTAAACTGTTTCTCTTTTCCTTTGCCTCTAAAATTCTAATCTGCCAAATTTTATTAATTTTATCTCCAATCTATCATTTTATTTTTTGCACAAAGAAACTAAGCTACCCCACTCACCACCATCCTTGTCCAATCTCCAGTCCTGTCTCCCTTGATCAATAGCAAAATCTTCTACAGGGCCCCCAGCGACCACTCTGTTGTCCTCCAGCCTGATCTCATTGGTGACCACCAGAGCAGCCTTTGTAACATGCGGATGTGAGCCTGTCATTTTTAGGGGCAGGTGGATACTGGGAATCGAACTCAGGACCTTGCACTTGCCGGGCAGGCGCTGTGCCACTGAGCTATATCCCTGGCCCCGAGCCTGTCATTCTTCTGCTTAAAGCCTATCAGTAGATTTTCATCCCTCTTGGAACAAAACCCAAAGCCCTCAGATGGCCTCCACAGTCCGTCGCACGGACTGGCTCCTGTCTACATTTCTAGACAGCAGCCTTGCTGCCTTCCTTCATGACACTGAATGCGGTTTGCAGCTTTATGTCTGTAAGTGTAACTTCCTGTGATTAATTTAACTTAATTCTCCAAAACTAAACCCCAAACCTCCCGAGAACAGAAACATCACAGCCCAGCGCCTGCATGCTCGTGAATTCACTGGGCACCTTTGTGAATGAATGGATGGATGGATGGATGAGTGGGTGAATGAGTGAGAAAAAGAATACATGAGGAAGTAAGGGAATTGCTGCACCTGTGCGCCGAGGACGAGAGCGCAGCCTCCCTCCCGCAGGCCAGTGCTGAGGCCTGAGTACAGGGTTTCTTCCATGTCTTGGTTTTGTTCCTTAGCAACAAGAGAATCGTGCTTTCTTTCCGATTGCCAGAAATCAACCCCCAATGAAATCTGACTTTCCTAGGCCGTCGTGGCCTGAGAAGCATGCAGAAGTGTTTGGTACATCTGTGGGGTAGGGTGGGGCCATGGTTTGTATTTTGCCATGTATCCTAATCGATGCTACTCAGGGACTTGTTGTTATTGTTGTTGTTCTTGTTGTCCTCTTTTTCAGACAGGGTCTCACTATGCAGTTCAGGCTGGCCTTGAACTCAGTATGTAGCCCAGGTTGGCGTCAAACTCGTGGAGATCCTCCTGCCTCAGCCTCTCTAGTACTGGGATTACAGGCATGTGCCACCATGCCCAGCTTAGGGACATTTTATTTTACTTTATTACATTTTATTTTATTTCATTTTTTGTCTTTTTGAGGCAGGGTCTCGCTATGCGGTTCAGGCTGACCTTGAGCTCACTTTGTAGCCCAGGCTGGCCTCGAACTCGAAACAATCCTCCTGCCTCAGCCTCCCTAGTGCTGGGATTACAGGCGGGCACCACCATGCCTGGCAGGGACATTTTTAAAAATAGTGCATTGTACTCTTTAACCTAAAATATTTGGACTAGAAATAGACAATGGGCATAAGTGCATGTGAAACAGGTTTAAGCACTTTGAGCAAACTGGCCATTTGGTTTAGTAAAACAAGCAGTTTACTGTCTGACTGGATCCATCACTCCAGTTGTGCATCCAGGCAAAGATGTAGGTCTGTTTGTGATTTGACCTCTAACTTGAATGATCGATTTTTAAGTTGTCCAGCATTTTGTCACTATCTCAAGTAGGTTTAGAACTGCCAGGTGCTAGTGTGGACAGAGATAAGTTTGGGGGTGAGCGTCTACCCTCCCCTCCTGCCCTGCAAGTCTAGAACAAGAGGGATTACAGCCCTGAAGGTGAACGGACCTCAGAGGCAGGCAAGCAGGCAGGCCGGCATCATCCTGGAAGGCTGGCTGATGTTCCCAGACCGGAAACACCTTCAGAAATCCTCCCGATACGCTTGTCCTCTGGGCCAATCCATTCTTCTTTTCAGTGTTTTCTGAGGGATGTGCGTTCAGGATTTTTCCCAGTTTCTTTTAGGTGGTGGTGCACTGGGGCTCCTGTGTGTGTCTGTGTTCGTTAGGGTTCTTCAGAGCAACAGAATCAAGATAGAATGTATGTATGGCTAAACCGGAAGCAGCCCAGTGGCCATCCGCTGGATCAGAGAGAAGAATCCAAAACGGCCCTCCCAGTGCTAGAGAGCCGAGCTCCCGGTCCAGTCGCAGTTCAAGGCTGAAGGCCCAGGAGCTCACTGCCGTCACCGTCTGGGCTGGAAAGCTGAAGGGTCTGCACTGGAAGGCTGAGGGACCTGAAGGTCAGCATGCAAAGGCAAAGGTGGACTAGCACTCCTCTGCAGAGAAGAGGCACTTCCTGCCGCTTTCCCCTTTCACTCTGTCCAGGCTGGGCGCCTGCTGGCTGGGCCCACGCCCACGCCCACGCCCACAGTGGGTCTCCCCGCTCAGTACACAGCCTGTGTATCAGTCATCCACAGACACACCTGGAGTTCACTGATCTGCCAGGTGGTTCTGAAGTCAAGTTGACGCCTCACCATTGACGACTCCAACATCCACTTCCCCAGCATTTATTGTGTAATGTCTGTTTCAGATTATGAACTAGATGGTAAGCTCTGTGCAGTCCAGAACCACCCCTGACCTATTCATTGCTCTATTTGCAATGTCTGGCACATATTAAAACTTTAATTAAAAAAATTACTCAGCAAAAGAATGCTAAGTATTTGTATTAGCTGCTAGGGATTCAAAACAAGTGCCTCGGGATACGGCCCTTTGACATCCCCTCAGGATGTTGTGGCTGCTGCACAACAGGAATGGCTTCTTTCTGAGGGCACGAAGAGGGTGAAATACCCTGCATGGCGTCATTATAAGTTATTCTGTAGTAGCAGAACAGAAGCCGTTACTCTGTCTACTTTAGAAGTGTCAAGGGAAGCTGGTAGAGGAAGGCAAGGCGTGGTGGCCAAGGACTGCATTATTACCCCCATACAGAAAGCTCTGCCCCAGGAGACCGAGCTCCTGGCATAAGAGGACACACCCATGCAGCGCATTTCTCCCGCAACTTCCTGACACGCTCCCTGTTGGGAAGGAAATGAACTGAGAAGCTCATCACAGTTATTTTCCAGCTCCTGCAGGCAACCGAGACTCTCCCTTCTTTGGATCCTGAGGGATCGGTGGGGAGGGAGACAGTTCCTCCCGCCTCTGCATAGACAGGCCGACCGGGTTCCCGAGAGCCTGCCTTGCAGCCCACAAACGGAAGCACTCAGGCCCGAAGCCAGTGAGGCTCAGCTTCTGAGGAACACGGGATGAGCCTGGTTCCCAGCAAGCCCGCAGGGCACCTGCTTTTATGTTTTTTTCACCCTTTGGGGCTTCTCTGCATCTTTGTCACTCTGGTTCTTGGGGCTCACGGGGCTCAGAGCTCCGCAGTTACACAGCATGGAGACTTCCTGTCCTCTGTAGCCAGCGCACTCACTTCCCTAAGCTGCTTTCCAAACTCTGGGAAGGAACCGTCTTTGGGCTGCGAATGCCACCACCTCCACGGCATCTGAAGAAAGGCCACCGGAGAAACCTGTCCAAATCCCCGCAAGGCTTGAGGAAAGGGCGCAGTCAGCGTGGAAACACAAGGCTGTTACTTTTCGAGTAAATATGATGAAGATTATTTGGGTAAAATCTGGCCAGGGATTCAATTTTCACTTTATCTAGAAGATAATTGTTTATTTCAAAATCCACTGTACAGAACTACAGTAATACATTTGCTTTCATGTAGAATTGTGTGGTTCAGAGGTAGTTTTCCATCTTAGTCCAACCAATCCTTACACAATCCCATGGAATCGCTGCCGTTGTTTTTGTTTCCAGTGGCCTGAGGACATTGCTGGGCTTAAATTCTGGTCTTTTCGATCTTCCTAAAGGTGGCAGGGAGAGTTAGGTGCCTTGTGAATGGGTTCTGCTCAGGGTGAGAGGACCGACAGTCCCGGTAGCTCCCCGTGGGTGCAGGCCCTGCCCGTAGCCTGCAGCGCTGCTGCCAGATGCATCCTGTTAAAGCTAAGGATGTGTGTTTGCATGCCTCTCTGCAAAGATTTACATATTGCTCTGTGAAGATCTGTCGCTGTATTTAAAAGTTTCAATCCCAGGCTCATAAAATAAATTCCCCATTCCTTGAAGAATGGGTCTTGTCATGTGAAGCTGCCTTATGTGAAGATGCTCAGACACACGTTCAATTAGAAGTAAATATTCATTCCAGGTAAGTCATCAAAAGCTTCAGTTCACATTGTGGTTCTAGATGTGGGTCGGCTTCCCCCACCCCTAGCCCAGGAATTTGGTCTGCAGAGGGAGCACAGGAAGAGATATTACCCTGCTACCTGGTTCAGAAGTAGAATGTCAAACTGTATAGTCGAATAAATTGAATAATATAACATGGTACCTTTGAGTAATATGGTATACTATATAATTGCAGGATACTATGTAAATAGAAAGTATTGTTTGCACTATTAGTGATAATAATAAATGGAGAGGTATTGTGTGTCATTTTTAGCACTTATAGCCACATGAGCTTCCAGAGTTTCCACTGTCATCTAGGTTCTTAGCTTGTTTTTGTTTTGTTTTGTTTTGGTACCAGGAATGGAAGTCAGGACCTTGCACTTGCCAGGCAGGCCCTGTGCCACTGAACTATATTCCCAGCCCCTAGGTTCTTAGCTTGAAGCCCAATTTTATTTCAAACCAAGAGTTTATGTGGACCGAGCATCACCATAAACATACCTCACACATGTGAGTGTAGAAAAACAAGGCATGGAGTGTAAGTACAGTACCCTACATGAAACCGTGATCGCCGTGCTGTGACATTGTGGTTGCTCTGTCTAGATGACCCAGACGGCCTTCATCAACTGGATGGGACTCCTTTAACTGCTGACGACATTGTCCATAAAATTGCTACCAGGATTTATGAGGAGAATGACAGAGGGGTGTTCGACAAGATTGTTTCTAAGCTGCTGAATCTTGGCCTGGTAAGTTGCATGCCTGGGAGGAGGGAGCCGGGCCGCTTCACCTGGACTCAAGTGCCCATTTGTTTGTAACCCATCTACTTCATGCTGGGGAGGGCAGGCTGCCCTTGAGGAGCTTATATTTTATCAGAAGAACTAGACGAGCACGCAAGCCCAAGCCCAGGCATCCCATAGACCAGAGAGTCCGGCTGGGGTAAAGAGAAGCTTCCCACGAAGAGGTGTTTGAAGGGACCTCAGAAACACAGTTTTGATGTCAGCAGCGTAGGTAGAAGACGTGGTGGTAAAGGGAATAACAGGAGCTGTGGCGGGTGATGTGTGTTAGAAACTCTCAGCGATCTAACATCACCCAGCCTCAGCCTGGCCGCCCGCCCTGACCAGCCTGGCAGCTTTAGGAAGGTGTTAACTTTCCAGAGTCCCAAGATGGCTTGACCCTGTCTCTCTCTCTTTCTCTTTTTTTTTTGTTTTTTGTTTTTGGTTTTTTTTTTTGAGACAAGGTCCCACTATACAGTTCAGGCTTTGAACTCCATGTAGCCCAGGCTGGCCACAAACTCACAGCAATACTCCTGCCTCAGCCTCCTGAGTCCTGCGATTACAGGTGTGTGCCACCACGCCTAACCCATGACCCTGTCTCTCAGAGTAAGGATTCTGTGGGTTTCCACAGGCAGGTTGACAGTCTCATGGTTGGTGGCCCCAAGCTGGCATGTGACACAGGCGTAGAAGGATTGCCCTCAAAGAGTCCAAAGATTCCTCTTCTAAATGTGTGTGTTCACGACAGAGCTTAGTCTGGATTCTTTTAATCACAAGCATGAGAACAGCAAGTTACATATGTTTTGCCCCTTTATAAACAGATCACAGAAAGCCAGGCACACACTCTGGAAGATGAAGTAGCAGATGCTTTACAAAAGTTAATTTCAAAGGAAGCCAACAATTATGAGGAGGAGCTCAATAAATCCATAAGCAGGACTGAGAACCAGGCTGGAAAAATCCCCGAGAAAGTGGTATGTATGTATAGACGTACGTATGTGTGTGTTACGGCTGTGTGTAAATGCCTGTGTATGCATGCGTGAGTATATCTGTGTATAATTGGTACCTACGTGATGCCAAAGAAGGTTTGGTGCATGCGGCATTTTTAGCCCACTTGAAACGTGTATAAGGTAAAAGATACAAATGTCCTCTACTGTGAAAATAATTTAGAGGCTACACGTCATAGTCTAGTACACAGTAAATGTTACTTCCTATGCCACACTGTAAAATGCCACTTAATATCCAAAATAACATTATCACATAGTAATGACTGTGTACAGTCTTACTGGCCCGGCACCTGACACCTCAGCACTTTGGTGTTGTTTCCCTTCTCGGTAGGTGTTATCCGTTTGTTCCTTGGCACTAGCCGGCCTCTGAGATCTTTCCCTGCTCCATGAATTCTCTTTAAGACCCTGGCTGAAGCCGGCCCTAGGAAGACACCCTGTTCCTCGTCTCTCTTCTGGTTTTCCTGACCCCTGGTCCTCCTGTCATGTAACAGCTGATCTCAAATACAAAGAAAGAGCACATAGACTTGGGGTTCTGCTTTCGAGGGCCTGGAAAACAGAAATCAGGTCTGGTTTTTTTCAGCAGATAGCCTAAAAACGCTCTCTGCTTTCAGTCCCTGCCTGCTGCCATCTATGTAAACGGCTTCTAACAATCTACCCTCTCTTAAAAAACGAGACACCAACACTCTGTAGATTCATCAAAGGACTCATGACTCAAGCTAACGGGTCCGATCGGAACCCCACACAGCTGTTTTCATGATCTTGCTCCCATCAGTATCTACCGAGGGCCAAGCCCCGAAAACACTGCTCATTTTTAAGAAGGCAGGCCTGCCCCCTCCCCAGAAGGTTCTGGCCTGGGGCAAGAGGTGTGCAGTTGTCTGAGGGCCCTCATTTGCATCACAACAGCGTGGTCCTGTGAGGCCTCAGAAAGAGGAATCCGTCCTGACTAGGTGAGACTGATCTATCGGGCCTGAGGGCTGAAGGTCCGCTTGGGTCTTGACCACGAGAGGCAGAGGTGGAGCGGGAAGCCTGGGGATCCAAGCAGCAACAGGCCGGACGGCGCTGCTGACCACGCGGAGACAGCGGTGAGCGGTGAGGCTGGCCGCGGACCCGGCCGGACCCTGCAGGCCCTGTCGGCCTGGTAGAGCCTGAGCTCTGCTGCCAGGGCTGTGGGAAATGCCAGAGGATTCTGTCACAATTCGTAAAGAAAAGAGGTTTATTTAGCTTGGACTTCTGGAGGCTGGAAAGCCCCAGATCGGGCCGCCATATCTGGATCGGGCTGCGTGCTGCTCCCCCCACACAGTGGAAATGCAGAGGAGTTGGGGGGCGCAAGACAGCGAGGGGCTCCAGGTCGCTTAGGACGACCGCTCGGCCAGCTACAAATTGTCCCGCAAGAGCACTAACCCGCCTCGAAAGAGAGACACGCTTTCCCACACCTTACAGTCAGTCCGATGGCAGCGTGAGTTCCGACAGACAAACCACATCGCACACGTGACAGATTTTAGGCCAAGGCATTTTGGGGTCAGACTGTTAAAAACCTAACTCTGGCTACCATGAGGACAGTGAGTGCTGAGAAGAGTTTTAAGAGGGATGGGATGCCAGTTAGAAAGAGAGAGCTGGAGGCCGAGGATATAGCTCAGCAGCACAGCACCTGCCTGACAAGTGCAAGGTCTTGAGTTCGATTCCTGGTACCAAAAAAAAGTCTCAAGAAAGACAGCTGGGTGCAGAGTGGGGCAGAAGAGAGAGAGAGAGAGAGAGAGACAGAGAGAGAGACAGAGACAGAGAGAGAGACAGAGAGCACAACAGAGAGACAGAGACAGAGGAGAGAGATTTTCTGTGGAATTGGGCAGGAGGACCAAGGAAGCCACTGGTGGGAAGGAGGACCCAGGAAGCCCTGGTGGAGTGGATGGAGGTGAAGAAGAGAGGGCGGAAAGCGCGTAGGTTCCCGTCTGGCCGTGGAATGGCGAATGGACCACTCCTAAGATGGGAACACTGAACAAAACCAGATCTTGAGGAAAAATATTATACACCCGCCCAGACGGCTGTGAAAATGTCACCAGAGTCCCCAGGTGTGGCCACCTGCTGCTGGACATGCTGAAAGGCTTCCTAGAGCAGGCCGTTGCCCTGGGGAGAGGTGTGAGCCTCGTCCCTCCCCAGAGACAGCAGTCGGCCAGGAGAGAGCTCGAGAGCCAGAGGCCTGGGCCTCGCCCGTGCGCTCCCCGAACGGGAGCTGTGACTCCCGGCATCGTGCAGGAGGGCAGGGCATGGTCCTCAGAGCCCCGGGGACTTTTCTGTGGACCTGGCTGCCCAGGGGAGGGCTGCGGCCGTGGGAGGTGGGTTCCTGCCCTTGCACTCAAGGGCACCACAGAGAGAGGGTTGAGCTGGTGCTTCATGAGTTCTAACCAAGCGCTCACTTTTGATTGATTCCCCTGCTTACTGGAGACCCTGAAGGCAGCGATTCAAAATGGCTTGACCCGTGGAGAGAGCGATGAGACCGTGTCCAACGCGCTGACCTTGGCGAACGGCTTGGAGAGGAGAACCAAGACCTACAGCGCGGATGACTTCGAGGAGCTCCAGTACTTCCCAAACTTCTACGCACTGCTGAAAAGCATCGATTCAGGTAACCGCTGTGTTTCCTAGCCGGGTGGAGCAGAAAGCACAGCTCTAGGATATGTGCTTCCTGGGTTTTTCTTCCTGTTGTCAGCTTCCAGATACAATCACCAATGCCGCACAAAATCGTTCACAACTGTTTTTCAGAAGAAGTGCCCTGGTCACGGGAACATTTAGGGAAGGGCAAGCAGGAGGGTGCAGTTTATGGATGATGTACTCTTGCTCTCAGAGTGTCCGTTTTATTTGTTCAGCAAACAGGGAACGTCTGCTGTGTACGAAGTACAGGAAAGGACGTCCTGCAGATAGATAGGAGGCGATCCAGACAGCGTCCTGCCCCGACCTAGTCAGCCTCAGCGCCCACTGCAGCTCCTGTTTGGTCTCAGCTTCCCTGGGGTATCACGGGCAAAAACTGTAAATAAAGGCGTACAACTTGATATTTTAATATACGGATCTTCATTGTGAAAAGATCGTGGCAATCAGGCTAATTAGCGTGCCCATGGCCTCAAGTAGGTACCTCCTCCTCCTCCTTTTTTGCCTCTGTTGTTGTGAGAACACTTAAGATCGACCTTCTCAACAATCTGCAAGTACAGTCCAGTACTGCGCAGGCGCTCACCACGCTGCCCACTCCCGCACGGATTCCTCCTGTGTGATTGAAGCTTTACCCCTCTGACCAACGTCCCCCCATCTTTCCTCCCCAGCCCTTGGCTGCGCGCCTGCTCCCTGCTTCTGCTTGACGCTTAGATTCCACGTACAGCTGACTCTCAGTGTCCAGAGGGCTGGTTCCAGCCTCTCTTGGATGCCTAAACCCACACATGCTCAAGTTCTGTATCTAAAACCACCTCGTGCTTCGCATGACCCACGCACATCCTCCCGTGCGCTTTAAATCCTCTCTAGGTGCCTAATAAACCAATACAGCATAAGTGTTCCCTAAATGCTTCTTATATTGTATTGTTTGGGGAACAAAGACAAGAAAACATCCTGTTAGTAATAATGCATTTTTCCTTAAATATTTCCAACCCCTGATTATTTGAATCCCTGCGTATGGAGCCCACAGATGCCAGGGCTGCCTCTAAGTGGATTCACAGAGATCTCTCTCTCTCTCTCTCTCTCTGTCTGGCTTATCTCACTTAGTGTCACGTTTTCTAGACTCATCTGCACTGTGGGGGGATAAAAAGGAAGCCGTGCCATCTGTCAGTGCATATTTTAAAAAGTTTCCTTCTTCCACTCTTCGTGGGCACAGTGGATGGAATCTGGCTTCTCCTTCCCTGCACGAGTCAGTACGGTGCTTCAGAGACATTTCGAGCTTCAGTCTTCAAGTGAATTGAAACAGACATAGGGTAAAAGGAAGCCAGGAGCCCAAAACGTATTGGGGAATTACTTGTTGTTTTAAACAAATTCCTCGGGCTGGGGATTTAGCTCAGTGGCAAAGCGCCTGCCTGGCAAGCACAAGGTCGTGAGTTTGGTTCCCTGTACCGGAGAAAAACTAAACAAATTCCTCAACGTGTCCGGTCTTTTCTCAGATGTGCACTAAGTTAACTAGAGGATTTCGATCCATGTTTATTTTTGGTTAATCTGCAAAGAGGATAACAATGGCTGATGCTTCTGTTACTGTTCAGACAGAGGCTCTTGCATGGCCCTCTCAGCCTTTCTTCTCCCTTTCAAAAATGCGGGCCAGCCGTGGTGGTACACACCTACAACCCCAGCAGTCAGGAGGCTGAGGCAGGAGGATTGCCGCGAGTTTGAGGCCAGCCTGGGCTACATAGTGAGTTCAAGGCCAGCCTGAACTACATAGACCCTGCCTCAAAAACACAAACATGCAGCCCCACATTGAACCTCTGCATCAAGACTCTAGCTGGAATCTCTCTCCCCTGAGATACAACCTCAGCATGAGCTTTCACAGAGAATACCCTCTGTCCTTCAGCTGCAGACCCTAGCCAGATGCCCTGGCCTTCTGCGGGCATCTGCAGGGCTCGTCTGTGTTGAGGGTCCCTTCTGAGCCACCTTGCCCCGCTGGTTGACAGATGCCCAGCTCAGGATCTCTGACATCCTGGTGAGTCACGTGTCCCCAGGGCAGAGCCAGACGTGGCACCACCCAGAGGGTGTACTCAGATATCTCATCACTGTGGTGGCCGGGGGAGCACACGGTTCTCTCTCAGAGTGTCTTCACCACCTCTTCTATTTCTCCTCCAAACAGTAGGTTTTATATGTTTTTAAAATCCCACTGTGTAGAATGTTCTTTGTATTGTTTTTATCTTCCTGTTTCCCTCCTCGGATTCCTTATTGCCTTTATTTTTCTAGAATTTTAATTTAAATTTTTAAGTTGAGGTCTTTGTTAATTTTGTCTTTCTTATCCTCAGTCTGAGCCAACTGAGAAATAAGCAAGTAGAAACCCAAAATACACCTGTGTTCCTCAGAAACCCCGGGGTCATTTTACACCCTGTGACCAACTCCTCCCTGTGCTGGAGGCAATGAGGACAGGGAGGGGAAGTGTCCTCACCTCCAGGACCGTCCTGAGCGAGCCATGCACAGGTTAGTTAGCCAGGTTTAACCAGGCAGGGTGCGTATGCACTTCCAGACATCGAGGTAAATACCTACATTTTTACCTATCAATTTCTTAACAATAAATTTGGAAAAGTATGTAAAGCACTGGGTTGTAGGATGTAGCGTGGTGTGAGAACCATCTTGCTCTCTCCCTCCCTGAGCAGCCAGTCCTGGCGATGGTTTTGGTCTGCAGAGCAAGCCTGTATCTGGCTCCTTCCTTCCGTGTCCAGGCTGGTGGAAGAAGAAAGATTCCAAATCCCTGTCACTCAGTAAAAGCAGCTCTATAGTGCCCTTTCCTGAGTGTCTCTAGTTGCATTGTCATGGCTGCTGTGTAACAAGCATGTCTGTAGGGAAGATGGGGGAGGAGTATTTGGAGAGTGTGGCAGATTGACAACTGGTGATCACTTGTAACCCTCAGCTGAACTGAACGAGCGTGGTGCTGGGTGTGGGCGGCCCACCTGGGGACTGCTGCCAGCAGCATAAGAGGCAGAGCTGCAGAAGGAGAAATTAGGCTGTTGGGAGCTGAGAGAAGCTGTTAGGTGCTGTTAGAAGCTGTAAGGAGCTATTGGTTCCCTTGGAGGAGCTTGTCATGCTGGCTTTCCTGATGAACTTGGCTGTTATCGTCCAAGGAGCTCAGGACCTGTTGTCACTGAGAATGGCTTTGGTTCACTTTGGGGGAGCTCTGGTCCTCACTCTGAGCATCGCGTCCTGGCTCTGGAGGGGAAGATAGTGCACTGCTTAGTCTCCTGGAGAAGCTTGTCGCATTGGCTTTCCTGATGGGAACTCAGCTTTCCTCATCATCAGAGGAGCTCGAGGTCTCACTGTTGCTGAGGATGGCTGTGGTCTTTTTCAGGGAATCTCTGGTTCTTATTTTAAGTGTCACTTCCTGGCTCCAGTGCAGATCTCTCTCCTGCTGGCACAGATCTTTTATCCCACTGGCACAGACTTCCTAGCTTCCACCAGTGACCTCTGGGCCTTCCCAGCACAGATCCGTGAAAAGGCCTGCATGAGACATTGTCGTGGGCTCTAGGCCTCCAGTTGGACTCGTTGGAGGCGTTGTTATGGGCTCTAGGTCTTCGGGTGGACTCATGCAGGACATTACCGTGGGATCCAGGTTGGATTCTTTGGTCTTTAGTGTGTGGACAGATTTCCTGCACTCTTTTGTATATCATTCTTTGGGTGACTATTATAAATAATTTTATAAAATGTGTGTCCTGTATTATATTGTTCCCCCTTGCAAAACCCCAAACCACAACAGAGAGCAACTTACACGTCCGCTAAAAGGATAAGAGAAACAAGCTCCCCTCTAGCATCTGAATTTGTTTTTCTTCTCTTCAACAATAGAGCCAGATTTTTTTCTGGTTCCAGAAGTAATGTGTTTACTGAACTACTAGGGCACCACTGGGCGTCTTGTTCCCCTGAAATGCAGAACAGAGGGTCAAATACGAAGGGTTCCGAAGAGCCTGTTAACTGGAACAAGTTGGAGAGGAAGGGAGTAACTTTTATTAATCCTCAATCACTGGAGTAGTTTTACCGTTTGCATAAACTCTTTCAAAGTTTATAAGAAATAAAGGCTAAAAAGCAATATATATCACTGTTAGAAAAATCAAACTTGGATTTAAAAAGTGAGCATGAGGTATGACTGATAAATACTGTAAATGTTTACATTTTTAAAAAATACTATAGTAGGGCCGGGGATGTAGCTCAGTGGCATGGTGCCTTGCTTGGCAAGCGCAAGTTTCTGAGTTGGATTTCTGGTACAAAAAAAAATTACAGTAAAAGGCACATTAAGTTCTGTCAAAATCCTCCCCCTCGTATACTCACCCCATGGTTCGCGGCACTTGCTGCAGCAGCTCTGGAGTGCCCTTTCGTGAGTGTCTCTAGGTGCACTGTTGTGGCCGCCTCCGTGTCCTGAATCAGTTCAAAATGTCTGTACCTTTCATGGTCACTCTGACTTTGGGGAAGAGCCAAAAGTCGTGTGGTGCCGGATCTGGTGCATAAGGCGGATGAGGACACGGCATGATGTTTTCACGGGCCTGTCTTTCCATTGGGTGGCACGTGGCAGCACCGTTTACTGTATTTCTGGTTACACCTTGTAAACGCGAGAACTTCTGGAACAACCTCTCAAAGCGGCAAGAGCGACAATGGGATGAATGCTCTTGAAGCAAGGGGGGATGTTGGAAGGGGACTTACTGGCAATGTGTCTTTTACTGTAATAAATTTTTAAAATTTAAATATTCACCACATATTTTGATCTCCCGTGTATATGTGTTCTTATTTTTGATGATGGGAATTAAGCCTAATTAATGGATACAGACGTTCTCATCCCCAAAAACTTGCTGCCTGAGAAAAGTCGTTAGGCAGCAACCTTCGTGCATCTTTCCGGTGTGTGTGATCTCAGGTGGAAAGCTGTCTCTTTACTTACATAGTCTTTAGATGAACTTAAACCTTAATGGTGGTAATAACTGCCCATTTCTTCAAAAGTTTGGCATAGCTGTACAGTGCCCTGTATTTCCAGTTCAGTCTTAGATTTTCTTTTGTGTAAATTAAATGTATGTGCTTTTAGCTACAAATGTAGGGAGAAGTAGTTTAGTAAGATGCTGTACTTCATAAATTGGTATGAGGGCTGAGGATTTAGCTCAGCGGCAAAAGCGCCTGCCTGGCAAGTGCAAGGTCGTGAGTTCGGTTCCCGGTACCAGAGGAAAAAAAAAAAAAGAAACAAATTGGTATGAAAGATGAAGCTGTTCTCTACTGATTTTCTTTAAATTATTTTGTCCTTTTCTATAGAAAAAGAGGCAAAAGAGAAGGAAACGCTGATCACCATCATGAAAACACTGATTGACTTTGTGAAGATGATGGTCAAGTACGGCACCATCTCTCCCGAGGAAGGGGTCGCCTACCTTGGTGAGAAGCCTGGCTGCTCCGCTTATTGTGACGGTGTTCCTTGTCCAAAGCGAATTAGGGATCTGGCAATAATTTCCTTGATAGTTGATGCCCAAATCACCTGGGTAACCAGAATTCCCCAGTCTAATGATGACGGAAATGAAATTAACCAGAAATCAGCTCTCTTTCCAGATCTAACTTGAGTATAACCATTTCCCATTTATTGTATTTAATGTTATTATCGTTTTCTAATAATTCCCAGAGTGGCAATCTGATTAAAATTTAACTTAATCTTTTTCCATTATGTTTGGAAAGTTGGGACTAAGAGTCCTGATTGGACCTCGGGGTCCTGGCTCCTGGTCCCTGTGCTGTTGTGTGAGGAGGCACTGGGCCTTGGGGCCTCACCTTCTGCATCCGTCAGGTGAAGGGCTCTGTTGTCTCTAACCAGGTTGTAGGAGACCCTGGGACCAAAGCTGGTCAACACCTGTAAGAGAGCATCTCTTCTCAAAGGCCCTAGGCTGCCTCTCATTGGTGTGGACTGAGTCGTATGCTCCTTCCTGAACCAATCACCGTAGCCTAGGATCAGGGACCATTCTGATTGGTCAGCCCAGGACCACTCAGCCACCCTGGAGCTGAATGCTGAGAGTGACAGGGGGCTGGGTGTCCTGACCACAGGTGTTGCATAGATCAAAGCACAGGTGTCCACTGTAGGTCTCAACCTTGGAAGGGTCCTGGCAGTGGCCAGAGAGAGGAGGAAGGGACTTCTGTAGTTAACCTGATGATCTTGGATTACGTGCCTATCCATCCCAGAGTCTAGGATTCCTAGAAATTAAATCCAGGCCAGAGCACACTGTGAGAAACATTAATATTTTGGAATTGCTAGTGTGGTATCTCTGGTGAGATTTAAACACTTTTAGTACATAGTTTGATAACATCTCTTAGGAAATGATACTCCTTTCCTTTCTTCTTCCAGAAAACTTGGATGAAACAATTGCTCTTCAGACAAAGAACAAGCTAGAAAAAAATGCTACTGACAATAAAAGCAAGCTTTTTCCAGGTAGGATTTATTTAACTATTTCTGCAGCTTTTAGAAGAATAACCCTTTTGAGCAGTAAATAATAGCTGTCAATAAACATTAATAAATAATTATAAATTTCAGAGTTAAATATCTCAGATCCAACCATAGGCTTAAGTAGATATAACCTTACCCACAGTGTAGTCTGTCTTGGCATAGAAATCTGACACCCGCAGCCTCAAACAGGAGAGGGTTAGTTTGACTCATGGTTGCAGAGGGTTCAGTCTACGCTGGCTGCTCTAAGGCAGAAACATCACAGTGGAAGGATGTAGTGGAGGAAGCTGCTCAGTCCATGACGTCTGGGAAGTAGTACCAGAGAGGAAGGGACCAGGGCCCAGATACGGTCCCCAAGGCTACGCCCCATGGCCCACCCAGACACCCAGAAGTGTGCATTACTGATGCTATTTCCTAGGCTGTTCTCAGACTGATTGAGTTGACAATCAAGATTAACCACCCCTGATCCGGGCATGGTGGCGCACGCCTGTAATCCCAGCACTCGGGAGGCTGAGGCACAAGGATCGCTGTAAGTTAGAGACCAGCCTGGGCTACAAAGTGAGCTCACAGCTGGCCTGAACTGCACAGTGAGACCCTGTCTCAAAAAGACCAAAAAAAAAAAAAAAAAAATAGTAACCATCCCAGAATGGAAAAGGCTATATCACAGAGCCAGCAACCCCTCCCTGGTCCGCTGTCCATTCCCCACAGTCCTACTTCTTCTCTGCCCTCAGGGGTGGCCTGTGCCACTGCACAGTGTGATACACCTCCTTCTCTTGGTTTCTTTACTTCTGCATAACCATACTCAGCACCACTCAACTGCGGAAGGAAGCCTCCTTTCAAGGGGCGGCGGAGTGAAAAAAAAAAGACTGACAATTGTTCTACTATAATTTTTGGCCCTATTTGGGAAATTATGTACATATCCTTAATAATATTTATGGCCCTTTAAAATAATGGTTTCATGCCTTCCATAATGACAAAAGCAAAGTACAAAACTGTACAACTATGAAGAACATATATGCACAATTGCTCTATATGTCATACACCACAATAGTGCAATAGTGGATGTGTGACACAAGAACTGATTCCTTTCCTTCTTCTTTGTTATTTTTTCAATAATATAATAAAATAAGTTTTATTTAAAAAGATGTATTGTTCTGCTGCTTGAGGCTGCTATTGTATCGGCTGCAGGCATGCTTAACCTTTGTTTGAAGGGATTACTTATTTTAGGGCTGTGATGTTTTAATCTCAGCATGAGCTTTCTGAAAGCAATATATTTATTTCTAAGTGAGGCATGAACAAGCGTTTTCCTTTTTTCCCAGCAGGAGTCCAGGTCTCTTCCTCATGCTGGGGCGGCTGGGGTGATGGAGCGGGAAATGTGGAGGTGGGAGGGTCCTGCCCAGCTGGAGCTCAGGTGCTGTTCTGGGTACCGGCTGCTCCACGGGGAAGGACTGGCCAGCAGTACAGTTACTCTCATTTGGAATCAAGAGCCACCATATTTTCTTGGGACCTGAGCTATCTCATAAGAGCTGATCACCTATGCCAGTGATGGCGAACCATTTAGAAACCAAGAGCCTGAACTGTAACCCAAAACCCACTTATTTATCACAAAGTGCCAACACTGCAATGAAATCTGAACACTGAGGTTTTAGTTTAGAAAGAACAACTAAGACATTAATATCTTTTGTCTTAAAAGAAAAATAACATGCATGCCGTAGGTTCACCACCACTGGCCTATACTGATTAAAGTAAGATGAGTAGTAGCTGGATTCAGTGGCGCATACCTGCAGTCTTGGCTACTTAGGAGGCTGAGGCAGGAAGATCTGCTGACCCCAGGAGCTCAAGACCACCTTGGGCAACATAGCAAGACCTCATCTCTAAACAATAATAGCAACAATAATAATGTAGGACAGATAATCCACTTTCTAATGATACAGTGCAGGAAAAGGGAAAAAAGGCTAAACCAAAACTTGCAAAGCTGAAGCCTAGCTTTATGTTAACTCAGGGTAGCTTGCGGGTATCTCTCCCTCCTCTGGGACTCAGTTTCCTTTCCTGGGAGGTGAGGTTAGAGGGTTGTACCCGAGAATCACTAAGATTCCTCTCAGCTGAAAAAAATGGCCAGCCCTCAGACTATACCTTTGCCACGGAGGCTATTGCTGCTTTAGGAGAGAACGGAGGGACAGGAACACGCTGTGAAAACAGGCTCCCTCTGCTTGCAGCGCCCTCGGAGAAGAGTCCCGAGGAGACCGACAGCACCAAGGAGGAGGCCGCCAAGATGGAGCAGCAGCACAGCGCCCTGAAGGACTCCACGAAGGACGGCAGCTCCAGGCCGGGAGGGAAGACAGACGCCCCGAAAGGTACGGCCACTACCCTGGGCTGGCGATGGCACTGGGGAGGCCATGCTTTCCCCGCACAAACGGCAGCGATGCGAGAAGCCAGCCGCCCAAGTCCGCTTGGAGAAGGCCTAGCTGTGGCGTCTCCGCGCGACTGGCGGCGCCTTCCTGTGCGCTGTGCTCGCTGGGGGCCACCTTGGCCCCCGCGTCGCATCCCTCGCGGCAGCCTTCAGCGTCCAGCCGGGAGCCCCGATGCAGGGGAAGGGCACTGATGCCCAGTTACACACCTGCTAGTGTCCGGCTCACCCTCTGATGGGCGGGGGTTCTCGCTGGGAAGCCCCGACACAGCTAACACTGCTTATGCCACAGGGTCGTGAGCTTCACCATTTAACAAAGCAAATTCCCTTAATTACTTAGCTAGTGATTGCAACATGAAAAATACCATAAAGACTTGATAAAAAAATACAAATCCAATACATGTATTTTCTAAAATAGCTTAAAGATCTATATATGTATATTACTCACATCCTTCTGGGATTTTACCAACTGCCAGACCCTCAAAGAAACAGACTTAATGAGGCCATAAGTTCTAAGTTGTTCATCTTTTTTCAGGTCAGAATGTGGATCTCGCTTTATAGTTGCGTGTGTGTGTGTGTGTGTGTGTATGTGTGTGTGTTATTGGGGATTGAAGCCAGAGCCTTTGTAAAGAACTACACCCCAGTCTTTCTTGTGCTTATTTTGAGCTAAGTCACTAAATTGCCTAGACTGAGCTCAAACTTGCCTCTCCTGCCTCGTCTTCCAGAGTGCTGAGACTGTGGACATGCACCACCACGCCTACCTACAAGCCTCCATTACTACAAATTTATGTAGTCATATTATAGAAAATTCACATCCCTATGTCTCCGATAGATATCCTTTTTCTGAAACTTGGAGTCTATGAGAAGTCATGAGAAACAGCTCGACCCTAGCTTATTGTCCTCTTTGGTGTAACTGGAACCTCCATAGGTGTCATCCCTGTCTTGTTAGTGGGTTCGTAGAGGTCTGATTCCCTGGGAGCCGTGCGAGTGGGCCAGCGCTCTCTTGACCCAGGTGAGTTGGCACCCAGCCAATTTGTCACCTGAGGAGACCACTGGGCTCTTTTTGTTGGCTGTTATGTGTGACCATCGGTGGCCACGAATGCATGGATTTGACGTGTTCCTCAGGACAAAGGGGCCAGTCGTGCTCACGGTGCAGCTCTTAATTTGAGGGGACCCCTTGGTCCCCTTAGAGGTTCCCCACCCAACTTCTGCTTGGGTGGGTAGGAACACCTCGTTCACCCTTGATGACAGACCCTTGCTTAACAATATCTATAGAGGAAGTGGAGAAATATACCAACTAGCTCGATGTGTGATGCCTTGTGTCTTAGTTGCTTTTCTCTCATTGCTGAGACAAAACACCGAATGCCCAAGGTTATAGGAGGAAAAGTTTATTTTGCTCACAGTTTGTGGCTCCAAGGGAGGGGCAGAAAGAGCAAGACTCTTTCCCGCCCTTATACTGTATGCAGGCTGCCCACCCCAGGGCGGGTGCAGCACTCACACCCATAACCCCAGCATTGGACCATGAATCAAGCACAGATTCTAGAATCGCACACCCATGACTGCATGAGGCTTTGGGGGACATCCAGACACAAACCGTAACATTCTATCCCTGGACCCCAAAGACTCATGCACATTCCTTTATGCAAAAGGCATTTTAGTCCATCTCTGAGTTGCCAACTCCTAACAGTTCCAGCATTGCTAAAAAGTCCAAGTCCTAAGTCTCCTCTGAGATTTAAGGCCAACTCTTAGCTGTGAGCCCCTGTACAAATGAAAAGGAAGTTAAACACCTCCGACATTCAATGGCACCAGATAAACATTACCATTCCACAAGGTACCAACAGAGGGATGCAAAGCATTGGGATCAAAGCAAGTCCAAAATCCAGCAGGGCAAACATTAAGTCCTGTAGTTCCATGTGGAACGTCTGAAGCAATCTGTGCTAAATTGTGAACTCCAAAGGCCTTGTGTGAGTCCATCCCTACAGCACTTCTAGTGGTTGCAGCTCCCACGGCTTCTCTCTTAGGCCTGCTGTGCTCCTTCCTTGCAGCTTTCCTCAGACTATCCACGTTCCTGGCTTTTCCAACCTTCTGGGTCTCCACTGCACCTTTGCCTTCACACTCACAGCTTCACATACTGCCCTCTCAGGGGCACACTGCCTGGCCTTCTAGGCCTCCTGAAATTGGGTGGAAGCCACCTTAACCCCACCACTCTTGCATTCTGCATGCACCTAAAACCAGTGCCACGTGGATGCTGTCAAGGTCTGCTGCCAGCTGGAGCAGTAGCCAGGCTTTCCTCTGTCTTGGCTGTAGGGGTCGAGTGCCTGGATTGCTGAGCACTGTGAATCCAATTCTGAGGAACAAACTCTCTATGCCCTCGCCATTCTGGAGCCTGGTGTGGCCACCACCACCATTCTGGAACACGATAATCTACAGCTTTCTCCTCAAAGCAAAGTCTTTCAGCTTTGCAGTTTTGAGACTGCAAAGGGTACAGACTTGCTGCTTCTTGTGATGCCCTCAGGCCATCTTTTCTATTCTGTTGTTCCTTCTCAGCAGTTGAGATCCTCTCAGCTGTATCTTTGCAGTTCACAGCAGTACTGGAGCTTTCTTTCTGGCCAAACTCTTGTTTTACATTATCCTGCTGGGCTCTTTGCTCTCAGTTCTCAACATAAATCTGGCTAAAAGCCCCCAATAATAGCCATGCCGTCATCTCAACATTAGACTGCCTTGAAATTTCTTCTGACAGATTAACTAGAGCAAAGGTCTGTCCTGGTCACAGCTCTGGGGGGTCCAGTCCCTGGGCTGTGGCCCTTGGCACTGTGCTGAGGCACCTCATGCTGGCGAGGTCCATTCAGAAAGCACAGGGTGGGCTGGCATCCCACAGTCCCCTCCAGGCAGGACCCAGTGACCGAGGGACCTTCACTGGGTCCTGCCTCTGAAAATCCCTTGGTCCCCAGAGGCCCAGCCTGGAGACCAACCTTAAAGGCGACATGCAGGATCCAAACTGTAGCAAAGCATGTGGAGATTAACCACGAGGGGTTTTCCGCCACTGGGGTCTCCATACAAGAGTAAGTGGAACGAGAGGATGAGACTCTTCCACCAGTGTTTTTTTCTTTCTTTCTTTCTTTCTTTCTTTCTTTCTTTCTTTCTTTCTTTCTTTCTTTCTTTCTTTCTTTCCATCCTCCTTCCTTTCATCTTTTTATTAGTTTTTGGTGGCCCTGGGGATTAGACCCAGGGCCTTCACATGAGCTACATCCACAGCCCTTTTTAAATTTTTTATTTCGGGAGAGTCTCACTAAATTGCGAAGTTGCCCAAGTTAGGCTTGAGCCTGTGACCCTCCTGCCTCAGCCTCCCAGAGTGCTGGGATTACAGGCATACAGATTCTAGATGGCTCCTCTGAAACATAGGAAAAAGACAGAGATTTGAGGTTAAAGTTAGCTCCATCCCATTATTTAGAAATCCAGTTTGTTTATAATACCCCTGACCACATTAACCTAGGACAGTGGTGGCAAACCTTTAGCTTGAGTGCCACAGCCAGATGTGTGTTATCATTGGAAACTCTAAAAGGTTTGCCATTACTGGTATAGGACAAGGACAATGGTTTTTTTTGTTTGTTTGTTTGGTTTTTTTTTTTTTTTGGCTTTGTTTTGCTTTAATTTTTAAATTTTTTTTGAGACAGGGTCTCACTCTACAGTTTAGGCTGGCCTGGAACTCACTATGTAGCCCAGGTAGGCCTCGAACTTGCCTCAATCCTCCTGCCTCAGCCTCCCGAGCGCTGGGATTACAGGTGTGCTCCACTATGTCTGGCAAGAACAACTGATTCTAATTCAGTTTAGCAAACACCAAACTAAGCTCAACCTAGGGATCAGCATCCCTGGAAAAACTGTAATTGGTCCTCCAAGGGCATCCTAAGGCGGGCATCTTTGTGCTCACAGTTGCTTACTTACAGTTTTCTCAAGGGCTATTTTACATCCTTGTTATCAAACCCAACAAGAAACACCCGCTGTGTCTAACCTACAAGAGAGAGCTTCCGTGTGGGTGAGGGCGGGCTGCTAGTCTCCCAGGCGTTTTCCCAGTTGCAGGTGAACACCTGTCCCTGGGCCTGGCGCTGGGCACAGGAGGCAGACTAGGGCCAGTTCCTGGAGCACCAGAGCAGGCTTGAAGGTGAGCGGAGGACGGTTGTTATGCATTTAGGCGTGTTGTGAGGCCTGGGTGCATGTGTGTGGCCAGGCACGTGTGTGCACACGGCTGCTGACCAGTAAGCCAGGCGTGTGCAGAACGAGCTCCCTCCAGGCCTTGCAGAGCAGCACAAGGGGTGAACCGAGGGCCAGCAGAAGCCACTAAGGGACACTTGTGCCGGAGACGCTCCGGCAGTGTTTGCAGGGGGTCACACGGCGAGTCCACAGCAAGTGTGCATTGCCCATCCCAGCACATGCTGGGCCCCGTGGACAGCACGCAGCAGGAGTAATAATACCAGCAATCCATGTTTTGTATCACCGCCACTCCACTAAGCAGGGCTACATGCATCTTATTCTAAGAAAATAAATCGAACTGAATTCCCAGGGATGGAATGACAGATTCAGCTCCTAATACAACATAGGCTGTTTAAACTCTTGCTCTTTACAGAGACTCACGCTAAGGAAAGTTTTAAATGTTGACTTCTAACATGTATTTGAATGATTCAATAACTATTTCTAAATTTAGGGATACGCCAATAAAACTGCACTTACTGCAGTTACAGTCAGATTTAAAATTTGCCTAATGTTGCAAGTAAGTTTCTCCCCGGAGACCAAATGAAAGTACTTTAAATCTTTATTCCATGATCTAAGTCTGGTTCCTTCTGCCAGTTGGATGTTTACTTATGAGCTTCCTGTGTATGAGTCACTGAAAATCTTTTTTCAAGTGGTCCAAGGGACGAGATAAGAATTGAAACACCCAGAAATTCCTCGCAGGCCCATCGGCTGTCAGGTTCATGACCGACAATGGAGCTGGGGTGAAGAGGGGTCGTCGCCCTTTCTGCTAAACACAAGGTCCTCGCAGGGGTAGAAGCTCGGCCTATTTGATTAAAAAATCGGCTCGCTCATGGAGGTGTTTATCTGCTGAGCCACACAGGAGGAGTCCATCCATTCTGATAGAAAAGCCCAAGCAGTGATTCCACCCGTGTCCCCCAGGTCCCCAGAAGGGACAGGAGCACAGCCCCGGTGACCTTTGTGTCACCACAAGTTGTCGAGGACCCCAGAGAAAGACGTCCCACGTGGAGCATCCGTGAGCCGCTGCTTTAGAATTCGCCCCTTCATTAACCAACGAGGAGCTCGAGGCCCAGAAGATGAAACACCTTGCCCGAGACACCCCAGCCAGAGCAGGTGGAGCCAGGCCCTGAACTCGCGTCCCCTCACTTCCGATCCAGCGCCGTCCCAGGGTCCTGCTGCATCCTACACGAATGCAAAATGCCACCACTGTGGGGCAGTTCCTGAGCCGAAGGGCTCTGTGGCCCTGGTGACATCCATGACACCAACGTTAGACACCTTGCCTCATAGGGTTCCTAACAGTGATTATTTGGGACGATCTTGATATAATGTTAAACATATCAAGCTTAATTTTAAATGTACCCAACTTAATTTTGTAACCATTCCTCTAGAAGACCTGATGTCTTTGATGTAGGCTGTGTGCCCTCGGCCAACCCAGCTGATTTCTGCACTTTGTTTCTCAGGGGTGAGAGGTGATCAGAACAGTGTGGCAGGGTCAGGACAAAGCCACACATAGAAAAGGACATTTCTCTTTCAGGTTCTAAAGCCAGAGGAGCTGCAGAGCGGGGCTGCGTCCGGACCGTGGCCCTTTCCATCCGCCTCGGCATGTGTTTCCAGGCTTGTGCTGTATTACCTCAGCCATGAGCTATTTTTTTCCAAAGGAAGCTGAAATAGATTGGAAAAAAAAATAGTCCAGCTTTCCAGCGTGGCCTCTCCTGGGCTTTGCGTGTGCACTGTATAAATAAACCATTTGCTTTGCACTCGGAGACGAGGGAGGAGGGTGTAAATAGGAACCAGCTGCTCTCTCCCAGTGCAGCGGGCCGCCTGATCTCATCCCTGCTGGTATCAGAGCTCCACTTACCTGGGATGCCCCCATATTTGTGGCAGTGGGTGGCTTCCAGACTGCACCACACAGCCAAATCCTCTCAGAATTGTGAAAAACAAAAACACAGCCTGCGGCCTGGTCCCCACCCCAGCCACTGGACCCTTCCATACGAGTTTCTGTGCAGCTCAGCTGGGGACCCCGCCTTGCTGGCCAGGTTGATAACAAACAGCCACTAAGTCCCCCGGGCCCAAAACGGGAGCTGGGCCCAGCTCCCCTCCCCGGACACCCCATTGTTTCTGGCTCTCACCCCAGCTTAGGCTGTCCTTCCGGCACCCCACCAAACGTCTCTGAGCCTGAGCCTCCGTGAGCAAAACAGTGACAACACCTCACAGGGTTCAGAGGGCACTGGCATTTTCAGTTGTTTCTGATGAATGTAGTGTGGCTGAAAAATACGATGAGTGGCTTTTCCAAATATATTACGGTAAAAGACACATGGCTATCGTGACTTTGGGGAAGAGAAGTCGCATGGTGCCAGAGCTGCTGAATAAGGCGGACGGGGACACGACGTCACGTTTTTGCGAGCTGCCTTTCTGGTGGATGGTGCGCGGCAGCAGCATTCACTGTGTTTCTGATCAGACCTTATAAACACACTCATAAAAGAGGAATTATTTGGTAAATACTTGTCAAGAGCTTACTGTGTGTCAGGCTTCGCCTTAGGCGTGAGGGTGCCTCGGAAAACGAGCCATTTCTAAGGGAGGAAGACAGCAGACAAAGAGGCTCTGCGATCCAGAGAAACGTAAAGCAAATCCAGCCGATCTGCTCAGCCAAGGGTGGCAACAGCAACCTGCGTGCTGATGGCGCCCCGCGTCACCGGGTCAGCCAGTGACGCTGCCCTTCACATGCCCAGACGTTCTTGAAAACAAGCACGGGACCAGGGCTGTCTCCATAGGGGTGATCGCCGCGACTGGGGGGCGGTGCCCTTGTTGTCCAGCTGCCCTTTTTCAAGGACGCTGCTGTGCACCCTGGAAGACCCGGATCCAGCAGTGAGGCCAGGGGCAGCAGGAGCCAGGGAGAAAGATGTGCAGGAGGTCGGGAGGGTAAGTGCAGCGGCGGGAAATGAGCACCAGTGACGTGCAGGGCAGCGTCACCGCTCATGGGCCGGAGCCAAAGAGGTCCAGTGCAAGCCTGGCTCTGCCCCCTGCTGTCCTCTGTGCCTCAGTTTTTCCCTCTGTAAGATGGGGGTGGCAGTGGGGCAGCTCCAGAGGGTCGCTGTGAAGATGAAATGACAGAATGCACTTGGAGCTCAAGGCACAGTCCCTGGTGCAACACGAGCATGCCGTTCAGGGGGCTGGAGAGGGCAGCAAAGGCATCCAGCAGGGCTCGAGCAACCCCAAAGTGGGGCGTCAGCGTGCCTCACTCAGGGAGCCAGGGCTCAGAAGACCTTTTCATCGCTGTTGCTGGAAAAGAGAGAGACTGACTGGTCTCTTTTTAATTTTAATCTTATTTTATTTTGGTTCTCACTACATGGCTTAGGCTAGCCTTGAACTGACACTCATCCTCCTGCCTCAGCCTCCCAAATGCTGGGCTTCTATCACATCTGGCTTCCCCATTTATTTTTTGTTTTTGTGAGTCAGGGTTTCGCTGGGTAGCCCAGGCTGGCCTCGAACTCCGTACCTGGTCTCTTGATGCATGAACTTTGCCCACCTGGTTGAGAGGATGGCTGGTTTCTCAGGAGAGGATGAGACAAGTGCAAAGCCCGCATCTGCAGACAGCTCTGACCTCTCTGAGCGCCAGGTTTCAGAGGTTCAGATCAGCCTGACTCCAGCCCCGTCCGTTCCTCTCCACGCTGCAGATCCGTCACCTGGAAGCCGATGAGATCCCCTCACAGCCTCCGCCACACTGAGGCACCAGGGGCCTCAGAGAGCAGGTTCTCCTGGGCAGCTGGATCAGAACCAGCCCAGAGCTAGTCCGGACCTGGAGCAAGGGTCTGGTGCCACCTTCCCCACAAGAACCAGGCGAAGGCTTGGGGAGACACAGAGCCACGCGTGTGCGCATTGAACAGGGGTGTAGCATCTTGGATCCGACTCCTTCCTTGACTTGAAGCTGCTCCTTGGTTTGGAAGAGCCACCCTTAGCCCGAAATGACCCAGCCCCGGTACGGCGGGGCCCGCCCAGCAGGCCAAGCAAACCAAAACCCCTCGCTGCTGGCCACCACGCCGTGTTCCCTGCGCTGGGGGCAGGGTGCTCCCTGGCACCAACCTCACTCACACTGACAGCCCCCGCACACACGCGTGTGCACACGCGCACTCCCCAGCCGCATACCGCCCCAGAGGTCCACACGGCCAACACAGTTTTAGGTCGGTGGGGCCAGCGTGTTTTGTGTGTTTGATGCGATCCTCTTGTCTTTTCCAGGGAAAACAGAAGCCTACCTGGAAGCCATTAGGAAGAATATCGAATGGTTGAAGAAACATGACAAAAAAGGAAACAAAGATGGTAAGGGGCGGGCTGGTGGCACCCCGGCCCCCCACGTGTCGTGCCCTCAGTACCAGGTCCCACAGGGAAGCTGGTGGGGTGGAGGCGCCCCTCAGGGCACCTCCGCTGCCTCTTAGGTGTGGAGGCGAGAGATGCTCGTCTCTCTTGTCACCTGACGCAGCCTTTGAGGCAGTTGCTTTTTCGTTCCATGTCATTCTGGAGGACACCAGGTGAGAGCAGAGTGTCCGGGGGAGCCCTTCCCCATCCCTGTCCTCGTCACCGCGCTCAGCTTCTCCGCAGTCGTGTCTCGTCTGCGCCTCCCAACTTCCTGGAGTCTTTTAAGCACCGGCATCTTCTGGGCACCTACCAGGTGCCCCTGGCCATCAGGAAAACAGTCCTCTGATCACACGGGACAGAACACAGCACCACAGCCTGCTCTCAGCACCAGAGGAGAGGGCAGCTGGAAGACGCAGCTGCCCCTGTCTGGGTGACGGTGGTTGCGCTGGCCCAGGGCAATCGTGGCGGGGTGCAGAGGCACCAGGAGGCCAGGAGACAGGGTGCGGCTCCTACTAGGACAGAGACAGGCAGGAGGCGGGGTTGCAGGACACAGAAGAGCCTGCCGAGTGAGGAGTACGGGGAGAGGAGGAAGCCCGGGCACTGAGACGCAAAGGGCAGAGGAGCACGCGTGCCAGGTGGCTGTGGGCCGGGGCAGCACCTGGGCCTGGGAGTGGACAGCGCACGGCCAGGAAGGGCGGTGTGGCCAGTGGAGCCTGCGTCAGACCCTCCCGAGGCTAAGGAAGGGATCCATCTGGCAGCGGTGTAGTTGCAGACTGAAAAAGTGAGACCCAGGAGGCAAGAGGGAGGTGAGGAGGACGAGACCCGAAGCAGCCTCTCCACACTGCCCCGGGGACGCTGCCTCTGGTCCACTGCAGACCGGTGTGGCAGAGCCCCTTCCGGCTTCGTCCTTCTCTCCCCTGGGAGACTCAGAGATGCGCAGGCGCCAGGGTCCAGTGGCACTCGGCTGGCTGCGCGTGGCCAGGACCTCCGTGCTTTCCTCCACCCCCCGCTCTCTGCCCTGTACAGACTGGCAGGTGGCAGGATTCTGGTAACCCTTAAAGAATCGAGGCAAAGCGCAGGGGCGTTTAGGTCTTAGAAAGAGGCCACGTGCCATCGCCTCACTTGGGAAATCTATTTTTGGTTGGAAGTTTGATGGTTTCCTTCACATAGACTTGAAGTAGGACACAGGAGTCATAAAGAAGTTCTGGTTCGCCTATTATATTTTACGTTTTTGAGGCAGGCCTCCTACCAGGTAGTGAAGTCTGGCCTCAAACACCCTGTGTAGCCCAGGGCGGCCTTGAAGTTGTGATCCTCTCGCCTCAGCCTCCCGAGTGCTGAAATTGCAGGCATGTGCTGCCACTGATGGTTTAGTGTTTTGTCCCGAGCATACAATTCAAGCAGCATGAAATCACCAAGGTGATTCTTTTTTTTCTTTTAAAGAGCAGAATGTATTTATTGAGGGGGACAGAAGTGGGGCCTCAGTGGGTTGCCCAAGACTCTGTCTTTTCTAGAGAGTTTTATAGAGCAAAACCACGAGATGAGATGGGTCCAAGGTAGGGGAAAATGGACAAAACTATGGTCAGCCAATAAGAATTGTTCAGGTAAAATTGATTAAACCGGGATCAAATGGGGAAGCGAGTCACATTGCAAGCGGGCATGAATACAGAACAGGGGCTTTTCCTGTAAGGGGTTGGGTCAGGGACTCTTCAAGGTGATGGCTACCTATTTGGAATATCAATCCCTGAGGTCCATCACCAAGGCGATTCTTGACTTGGGGGGAGAAAGTATATCATTACATCAGTGGGGACCGACAGCCAGGGACGTCATTTCACCTCAGAGTCCTGCCCAAATGGCCACAATTCAAACATCCCCCAGTGTGAAAGACAGGGCCAGGGACCGTGTTACACAGAACGTTTCCCAGTGGTTATCACTGGGATGGGCTTGATCTTCCCGTCTCTGCTCATGGTATGCTAATAACAATATTTTCCAGATTATGACCTTTCAAAGATGAGAGACTTCATCACCCAGCAGGCTGACGCGTACGTGGCCAAGGGCATCCTGGACAAGGAGGAAGCCAGCGCCATCAAGCGCATCTACAGCAGCCTGTGATGCCGGGAGACCTTAACGGAGCTCAGAACACCTCTAATCCCGCAGCAAACGTGCTCTGACCCAAGGGTAGTAGAGAGTGCTGAACTCACAGTAGTTGACCTTGTAGAAGTGGGTAAGACATAGCTTTCTTGTCATTAAAAACTACCTGAAAAGTAAAGTTCTCTGAGGCTGACTTCGTACCTACCATCCTCCTTTCTGCCTAGACCTACATTTCCTGGAGATGTCGCTCTGGGAAGCCCGAGACTGCGCTGAGCCTGACTAACCTTCCCTCTTGGTGTTCAGGCCGTGCCAGCCGCCAGCGCCATGTGTAGACCAGACTTGTGACAAGGCCTTGTTTCTGCCCGCAGTTCCCAGTAGGGAATTGAATCAAATTCCTATTTCCTCAAAGCCCCTCCAGCTTGAAGGGTATCTCCTTCATAGCTGCTGCTTTTAGCTGGCTCTTTCTTTGGCACAGTGGCACCAAAAGGAACTTGAAACCTGGCATAAGTTTTCCTGGATTTATTAACAACTTTCCGTACCTGTAACACTTCCTGTTGGTGAGTTAGCAGGCACCGGGCTTGTGGGTAAAGAGGGATATTTATGTTCACTCCAAGACAGCAAGCCAGTCATAAATAGCGCAAAAGCAAGGGAAACTTCACCACAGCTCACTTATCCCAGGTGGACCTGATCCAAGCCAGGTGCCGCCACAGAGAGCCAGCGGCCAGGCTGCGGGGTAGAAGAAGTTAAGGCTCCTCCCACTGCCTGTGAAGCCAGCTGGGGGTGCTGCCCTGGAGAGTGGGTTAGTGAACCTCAGTCCCTGGGGCTCGTCCTTAACCAACCATTAGCTCCTATAGGAGGCAAGACACAAGGGCGGTCAGTCCTGATTTGGAAATGAGGAAAAAACGGCTTCAAGGGGACAAGGGCACATGTTATGCCTAGGCTGAAGTGGCCGCCAAGCAAGGAGCTGGGCCCAAAGCCAGGCCTGCAGGCTCTGCCCCTCCCCATAGATGACACGGGTGGAGCCCACAGAACTCTCCTGTGTCCAGTGAAGGCGAGAAGGCGCTGAAAGAGGTTTGGCTAGAATATGCTAAGAGAGACGAGCAGACAAGCAAAAATACAGTACTCAGAGCGCATTTTGAGACTGTAATCTCAACCTCACATTTCAGCTCACATTGCACCTTGTGGCTGGTGATGTTTCTGAATTGCTCTCAAAGCTCATGCCACTTTATTTGAGCAACACAATTTAATTTGGGGAGTTTGGGATTTGTTTTCTGAGGTTTTTGTTTAAATTTTTTAAAGATAGGAGCTCATCAAGTAGTTCAGGCTGGCCTTAAATTCATAATCCTCCTGTCTCAGCCTCCCGAGTGCTGGGATTACAGGTGTGTCCCTCCACGCCTGGCTAGGATGAACAGCGTGAGAACTCTCCATTTTTAAAAAGTTTCTAAGCTTTTACAGACACTTGCTGGGGTCTTTTTTTTACGTGCAAAAGTTTCCCTTCCTTTCTTATTTTCATTTCTCCTCATCCAACAAACTCAGGTAGTAGTGGTTACAGCGAAGCATTGAGATGCGGGGATAACAGGAGGAGAGGTAACAGGCACAGTGTATGTCAGCACGTATGTTCTGTGCGTCAAGGTAGGAACAAACAAGACAAGCCGAGGGCAGGTGCAGCACAGCCCCGACGCACCTGCTGTCCACTTCCTGGGGTGATGTGTGCAGTTCTGGCTCCGCTGCTCTGCTGCTTTATCCCTGAGGGCCCTGTTTCCTGTTTAATGGAAGATTCAGGGGCAAGACAGAGGGGGAAATGACAGGGACGAGGAAAAGGGACGACGAACATTGGAAGCAGAGGTCTCTTCTGCTCCCAGAATAGCAGCTCCCTGGGGATGCTGTGGAGGAATAAATGAGCAACTGTCACAGAGGCCTAATGATCTATCTCGCCTCGTGGAGATCAGTACTACAAATAAGCTGGGCGTGGTGGTGCACACCTGTAATCCCAGCACTCACGAGGCTGAGGCAGGAGAACCGTTTTGAGTTTGAGGCCAGCCTGGGCTACAAAGTGAGTTCAAAGGCCGCCTGAACTGCACAGCGAGACCCTGTCTCAAAAAGACAAAAAAACCCTAGAAATACACTTAATGGTTTGCTGCGTACAGCTTACTTCATAAGTGTTTTCTTACGTGGACAGGTTTCCCTCTTAGCTCCAGGCACACACTTGGTTCTCACTCTAGAAAAACGGCGTGGCCAGGAGGCCAGGGCTGTGGCTCCGTGGCACCTCAGAGTGGGCTCTCAGCCGCCTGCCCTTCCGAGGACCCACATCGCGCCGCGTCCACGGCACATTAGGTCTGTGGAAAGGCAAACGTGGCTAGAAACTATAATCAGTTTGCTTTCACATTACAGAAGCTTTTTTCCCTTCAAAACTGGGTTTTTAATAACAAAAACCCTAAAGCATGGAGAACCTGTCGCCGATTCAAAAACACAAAAAATCAGTTTTATTTCTCCCCCTGGTTGAGAAGAACACTCAAATATGAAAACATAGTTTATTTTCTCATTCAGACGTTTGTAAAGTTTTACAAAATAGCGGACAAAATTTAGTTCTTTCCATTAACACAACGTAATACATACTGAAATATAATATTTATATAGCATTTGTTAGAAACACACAGCAACTCAGCATTCCTTAATCAGCCACCAGGGTTTTCACGAAATTTGGGTTTTATGAGCAGATAAACATTGTCTTCGGCATAAATATATAGAACCTCTCAGGACTGACACCAGCCGGCAATTATAAAAGCGAGGTTGAGAACTGCCCCCACCTACACAAGTGATGAGCTCTAGGATGCGCTGTTGCTACCATGCCACAGTAAGACCTAAAATCACAGGAGGCCGCGAGGGGCGTGGCCTCAGCGCCGCGGCAGCGGTCCGCCGACTCCAAGACCGCACTGCAGGAACCGCAAAGCCCTCCGAAGCCTTCGGTTTCCGGTTCACCAGGGTCCCATCGACCAGGTCGGCACTTAGCCCAGCTGCCTAACTGTGATAGAGGGAGGCCGAGTAGGGACTCTCTTCGTCCCTGTAAAACAGAAATTCAGTACAAATCAGTGTTCAAAACTGTGTTCAGAAAAACATACACTATTCAAGCTAACATCTACTTGCCAAAGGTGCACCTCACTTACTGTATCCATCCCACTGGAGTCTCAGGTACTGAAATAAATAATGGTAATTGTTTATATACTATTTAAGTATGTATTGCTTATACTAAATTATATTCACCTTTATTTATGTTTTCCATATCCTACCTCTGTCTCAAGGAGATTTAAGGTACTTATAACAAAGGACATACAAATAATAGGGTGACTAAAACAGAAATAAAAATTCAGAACTAAGGAAAGGAAAAGGAAATCAACATGCTAATTATAGGAAATACATATATATATATTTTGGGGGGGGGCGTTCTTTTTGAGGCAGGGTCTCTCTGTGAAGTTCAGGCTAGCCTTGAGCTCACTTTGTATCCCAGGCTGGTCTTGAAAACTTACAACAATCCTCCTGCCTCAGCCTCTGGAGTGCTGGGATTACAGGCAAGGACCACTGTACCAGCTCCATAAAAAATATAAGTAGTTAAACCCGCGGATCCATTTTAGTTACAAGGTTCCCATATCCAGGGAGAAAAGGAAAATACAGCAAGATGTGCCCTCATGAAATCATAAAAGAAGAAGGAGCCAGGCATAGTGGCGCATACCTGTAATCCCAGCACTCAGGAGGCTGAGGCAGGGGGATCATTTCGAGTTCAAGACCAGCCTGGGCTACAAACTGAGCTCAAGGCCAGCCTGAACTGCATAATGAGACCCTGTCTGAAAAAGACCAATAAATAAACGAAAGAAGGAAGGAAGGAGGAAGGTAACTCAGTCAATAGGAAAGAAAAAGCTTTGCACTAGTACTAAATTAAAAAAGAAAAGTTCACAAGAAATTTTATGTAGGGAACCCTGGTAACAAATAGTGAAGAATATCTTTGACAGATTTTACAAAGCACAGTGGCTTACAAGTCTCCTTGAGGGTAGAGAGTCTGTGGAAGGTGCCAAGGAGATGCGTCGCTAGGCTGCCATCCAGAACTGCTGTCTGGACAGGGTTGCTATGAAAGCAGAGAGCCGACTTTTTATACCAGATATCGGAGGCGCTGCTCCAGCCCTTGGCGTTGGTTCCAGGGCACTTTTACCTGCTCTCACGCTTCAGCCTCTGGGCCGCCTGCGTGGACAGTTTGATCTGCAGGTCCAGCCTGTCCAGGAAGTCTCTGGCCGACACCTCCTCGGGCTGCGCGGGCCTCGGGGCCGGTTCCTGTGGGCTGGGAGGAGGGAGCGCGTCCCCCGCCACCGCCAGCGGCTCCCCGGGAGGAAAACCACTGTCCCCAGCTTCACTTTCTGGAGACTCCGGTGAGTTCAGTCCATGGAACAACAAAGGCTTCTCTGATATGACTGGGATGCTCAGTGTTTTCTTCAGAAATATGCAGTCATTGGTAAACAGTTTATTGACCCTTTTAATCTGTTCCATCTGAAATGTCCGAAGGGAAACAGAGTTAGTATGGCCAAGTCCACAGGCGGAGTCCGTTACACGGCGCAGAGCGGGACACCAACAAGCAAGAAGCGGGCCGTGCTTCTCTGGAGCCGGGACCCTCACTCAGATTTGGTCACCGCGCAAAAATGACAAGAGATGTCAGGAAATTCTGTTTCCCGATTTCAAAGAAGGACAGACTCGCCCTGACACACAGACGCACAGTCACGGTCCCCTGTCAGATGGCTTTTAACAAGTGGCCCTAAATTTCTGAGGTTAGAAGGTACGGGAGTTTTAGCACTTATTTAATAAATCCCACCAGCTGAGTCCGTTCGCACCGTCCCTACGGGCTTCGGCGTCTGCAGGACTGGCCTGCTGGGTGGGAAAAGCCGGAAGCACAAGCGGAATTCAGAGTGGCAAGGGCTGCCGAGGAAGTGGGTTCTGAGTTTGACTCCGCTGACCCGGATGAGCCCTGAAGGACAGGTGGCGGCGACAGGCAGGGAGAGGAGGCGGGGCCTCTCTCTAGGAGTCTCTCTCTGGCCCCAGAGCAGGCTGTGCGATCCACTTTACAAATGAAAGCCACAACACTCGTGTTGACCCCTGGACCTACCATGGGGCCATCGCAGAACACAGGCTTTCTAAACCGACAGATTTGCGTGGGGCGGGGAGGGTGGTAACGACGGGGTGGAATTTAGCTGCGTTGTCTCACCTGACCTTCACAGCAACTCTGCAGTCTGGTTATTACCATCCCCTTCCCACTGCCTGAGTCCCTCGTGGGCCCCACACAGGGTTGCCTGTGAACCTTTGCAGCTCTGTCCACACTGTGTCTGTCAGCCTGTGTTCCACCATGTCCGCAGATGTCTGCCAACACGCCGGGAACTCCTGCTCCTCCCGTACCACCTCTCCCGTGAGGTGACAGATGGCTAAAACCGCGATCTGGAACCGGGCAGCCTGGCGCAGGTTCCAGCTCCCAACGTGAGCCATGTGAACACGAGTGTGACAGTCATCTCATGGAGCCTACTTCTTCATACGTAAAACAGGCCTCATCTTCCCTTCCGGGGTTGTCACAAGGATGAGCTCATGTGCATGTACGGAGGAAGCACGTGTGTATGTACAGAGAGCATAATAAACACCACCCACTGTTAGGCACTTTCCTATATATCTATCCACCCATCTATTCATCAATCCATCCATTCATCAACCTATCCCTTTCTACCCATCCAGCCATTCACTGATCTATCCTTTTTTTTTTTTGTACTGGGGATTAAACTCAGGACCTTGCATTTGCAGAGCATGTCATGGTGCTATACCCCCAGCCCCATCTACCCATTTATCCATCTATCCATCCATCCATCCATCCATCCAATCAATCATTAATTGATTCATCCATTTATCCATCTATCCATTTATCCATCTATCCATTTATCCATCTATATAATCATTCATTCATCTATTCATTCATCCATTCCTCCATCCATCTATCCATATATCCATCCATCTACTGATCTAATTCTGTGTTTCCCCCAAAATAAGACCTAACTGGAAAATCAACTTGCTCAGTGGCTATTCTGTAATGACAGGTAAGTCCGGGATAGGCAGACTAGGACTGGCATATTTTCTCCAGTTATGTCTTGTTTTCGGGGAAACATGGGGTTGATGGCACTTACTCCTCTCCATCTTCCAACGAAGAAATCCAGGCGCACCTCGGAAGACTGATGTGAACGCGTGCACACAGCTCTACATTTGCACTGGGAATTCTGCCTGACTCCAAAGTCCACACGATGTCTAGATTAAAGTGTGTGATTAATGGAATCAAATTAAGGGAGCCTGTAAGGCCAAATTGATTCTGAGCATAAAAAATTGTATTTCCACTTCAAAGAGCCTGGGGAAACAGCTGTTCAACAAACAGACTCTTTCTTCTGCTTCCTTATCTTAATGCACGCAGATAGCACCTTTTTCCTTTGAGAGAGACCCTCGGGAGAAGGGCTGGTCCCTTGGAGTTTAGGTTCTGGTTTCAGGAGCAACAGCTGGTGAGGAAGAGACCACGGGCGTGGGTGGGTGCATTTTAGAGACAAAACTAAAATCTAAACGTAGCGAGTGCGTCTGCTCTCACGGCCTCGCAGCGCGTGCAGCAGGCTGAAACGTGGTCCACCCTGCCTTTGGCATCCGAGTCTCTGCCACCCGCATCCAGCTCCACCACGCCTTAGCGACAAGCTCCCGATGGCGCAGAGCCGCAGGGCTCCAGCGTGCCTCCTCCTGCGTTTGAAGCAGCCGGTGCCCTGCTTTCTTCCGCACATGTCACAGCTCTACCTCGCTGGGCACAGTTCCTATCGCCCTCTCTCTCCATCTAGCTCTTACACCGCTGCTGCTAGAAGGAAATGGGCTGGAGCTGCTGCCCATCATCTTGCCCCAGTGGAGCCTGGGACGGAGCCATGAGGGCAGCACTTGGACTTCTAGCCACGGCCAGAAGCCAGAACTTCCTCAAACCTCTCCATGGGGCAGCGCCGTCCCCGGGTCAGGAGGTTGGCTTTCTTTCAGGTTGGCTTTCTTGTCTCTTTGTTTTTTGGCTTTTGCTGAAGGCATTTTGAGTTAGATTTCCTGTCACTTGTCACTGAAGGACCCTCGCTGACACAGAGCTCTCAGAAATGCTTGTGGGAAGCGGCCCACAGTCGCTAGTAGTCATGGCTTTCTGGGAAAAATGACAGGGGACAGAAACCAACGGGAACCGGGATTTGAAGGGCTGGAAAGTGTAGGAAAGAGGCAGAACCCACTGTGAATCCCTTCGGGGAGAGAACTGTTCCCTCACAGCCTTCCTGGGACGGCAAAGGTCTCTGCACATTGAGTTGTTAAAATGGACAGATAGGGCGTGGTAGTGCATGCCTATAATCCCAACACTTGGGAGGCTGAGGCAGGAGGATCACAAATTCGAGGCCAACCTGTGCTACACAGTGACTTCAAGGCTAGCCTGGAATACATAGTGAGATCCTTTCTCAAAAAAATTTTTAAAAATGACGGATAAATGAATAGATGAATGGATGGATGAATAAACAGACGGATGAATGGACAGATGGATGACTTAACACAGATCAGAGGAGCAGGCACACAAGACGAGCCCAGGGAAGTGCCCAGAACCGGGTGGCAAGTTACCTGCCGTGCTTTGCTCTCCTCCCCTGCCCCCTCCCTCTCCTTCCTGTTCTGAAAGCCCAAGGAGGCTGCTGCTTAAGAACTCATCTCCTGAGCCCCAGCTGGTGTCCGGAGGAAGGCACCACGACCCTGAGGACCACGTCTCCCATCAGGGAGCCTTGTCCACGGCGCGCCTCTCACAGCTCGCCTCGCCTGCCGCCACTGCCTCAGCTGTGCCACCGCCCTGGATGGCTCCCTTCATCCCACCACTCTGCACTGGCCCTCCACTCAACTCTGCAGGCACAGCCACGGGGTGGCTCGCGTGTCCTGCCTGCACCCGGCCCATCACGCCTGCCACGCAGATGAGGAGGCCACCAAGGCGTGACAACCCACGCACAGACAGGGCGAGGGCGTAGACGCTGCCTGCAGCCAGGGAGGCCCCGGGCAGGAAGCCAGGGCCCAGGGCCCCACCCAGGCCGCGGCACAGCACCGGCCACACGAGGCCTCTCCAACCTCCTGACCCGGGGACGGCGCTGCCCCCAGCACTGGAAAGGCCCTTGCAGTCCTGACCCGAGGACGGCGCACGGAGTCTGGGGTCAAGGACTCAGGGGACCAGGCACAGCAAGCACGGAGGCAGGGGCCACCTAAGGACAGGGGCACTGGGTCAGAAGTTGAGTGGGTCATTGGGGACGATAAACAGGCCACGTTTCCTGAGCCCACGTTCTGGCTTCGTCAATTCCTAACCACTTTCCGAGTTTATTTTCTGAAGACAGGCATCAGAGCATTTGGCTTCTGTCCTTTCCACAATTTGGCTGTGGTGAGGATTAAATCAATTAATGCTTGTAGAATAGGAAAACAACACAAGGCACACAACCAGTCAAAAATGTAGCTGGGTAATGTGGTACATGTTTGTAATCCCGCCTGTGGGAGGCTGAAGCAGGAGAATCGCCGGTTTACCTAGTATCTGGGCAATTTAGTGGGACTTTGTCCCAAATGAAAAGAAAAGTAAAAAGCTGGGGATGTAGCCCAGTGTGAGGGCCCTGGGTCCAATTCCTAGTACTCCAAAAGAGAAAAACTTAATAACTATTGTTATATTATGGTAAAAGCAAGAAAGTAAGGGATAAAAAACAATTCCTAATACATTTGGTAAATGATGAGGCACGCATTTTTCTCCCATTACTTTAATCTTCCCCAGAATAAGGCTACATAAGGAAAACTTCATATAAACAAGTCCTGGTAAATAACATAACATGTGGTCACCAACAAAAGCTCTTTTAACACAGTGAATATGGTGTTAACTTGCTCCTTGCAAGCAGAAGGCCTGGAGCGAGTGCACAGGTTGCAAACTCCGGCACCTGGGTGCGGCCCAGTGCGAGGCAGCTGTGCACCTCGCTGGGGAAAACCTAAAAGCCAGAGAGGGTGGGGGTGGGGAGGCAGCCACACCTGCATTCGCACAGCTCCGCCCCCGAACAGAAGCTGTGTCTCTTAGTGACACGGCACTTCCTGATTCCAGGCAGGGAGGGCCAGGAAACCAAATGCTCGGTCTCTCCTAATCACATGACCCCGTGAAATGTAAACCTCCCGCCCTCACTGGCATACAGGTCACAGCGGGAGGGAAGTCGGGTGGACAGAGGGCCTGAGGTCAGCTGAGGAGAAGCAAACGACAAGTGCCACCAACAACGTACAGATGGCTTCCAGAACATGACCTTCCTAGAGACACACTGCGTGAGGCGGGTTTGTTTCAGTGCCTGAGCTGGGCCAGGGAGGAGGCCTGAGAGCACCTCTGCAATACGCACAGAGAAGGATATGCAGAAAGGGTAGTCTGCATCACACAATTGAGGTAGTATGTGATGTTTTGGGCTCTGTGCTTCAGCTCTGATGTGTAATCTTTAGGCCCTGGGAAGTCACGGCGTGGAGCCCGGCTCTCCATCCTGCCCGGCTCACAGCTGTATTTAGGGAGCTGCGGGGGCGGGACATCATTGCCCTGTCGCCTGGCTTTAAAGACTGCACGTCAGCATCTCCCTGGACCGATCTGCGTTGCTTAGAGCCAACTGAGGGGATGAGGAAAAGCCCAGCCAGCTCCGTACACGTCAGTACATGGAAGCAGGGCCAGGCTTAGCAAGATGGAGGTAACTGCTCTTCTTTCAAGGACAGTGGTCCAGCTGTCCTCCACAGCAATCATTATGTGCGGCAAACAGATGCTAACAAAATTTTTTTAAAAGATGGGGAATTTTGTGGTGTATAATTAAACCTTGGTAAAACTTTTTTTTTTTTTTGGTACCGGGAATCACCCAGCCCAATCTGTTTTTTATAAAAGGATCTATGAGGACCTATTAAAGGCCCAAACAACATGTCTTTCGGTCCCTTTCCCACAGGGGCTCTAAGCCTCCACTCCCCCCCCCCCCCCCCCCCGTGGATTCTCCCCAGACACAGTCATCTGCTGTCCTGGCCAGGGACTTCTGCATGGGGAACACCTGAAGCAGCACCTCTGCGGAGCGGCCACATGGAAGAGTGGGAGAGGAAGAGGAAGGGAAGAGCCTCGGGCAGAACCGGACAGGAGGTGGGGGCGGGCGCGGGCCTGGGGAGCGGAGAAAGGACCTGCAAGCTGTCAGGGTCACAAAAAAACAAACAGAAAGGTCACGCCAGCACCAGACTTCCTTTGCTGTCTCCTTCTAGATTTCAGTTTCTGTTCTGGTCTCTGCGGGTTCTTCCAGGATTTCCAAACAACAAGGCCAGGGAGCCGACCCTCAAGGAGCTAGAGCCCCAGAAAAGCCACAGCTAAATCCAGACCCCGGGTTACAGCGGGGCCTCAGGGCCTCAGGGGACACCAGCACAGCCCGGGAGGTTCCCGCCCTCCGGAGCCAGTTCCTGTCTGAGGTGGACCTGACTTAATGCTTTCTCCACCCAGCCCAGGCAGTTTCGGTTTCCCAGAGCCACCTCCGCCCAAGCCTAGGCCCGTGTGTGGTCCAGGGTGAAGCCCGGGGCGAGGGCCACCAGCAAGGATGGCGAGGACAGCAGCCTCCAGTGCCCAAACTGGCCTCCATCCCCTGACCTGTCCCGTCCTCTGGGGCAGCACTTCCACAGGTCACTGTCCCGGGATTCAGGCCGCTGCGTGAGACCCAGCAGGTGTCCAGGTGGGGCTCGGCACAGCAGAGCAGCCAGACGAGGTCCCGGCGCCCAGGCAGCTTTACGTGGGGGACAACAGCTTGCAGGCAAACTCACTGTGACGCCAAAGACGCCAAGGGCAGGTATCACCTCGTCACCCGGCGTCCAGCAGGGACCTCAAGCAAAGCAGCTCCTAGCGACGGAAGGACATTGGCAGGGAAAGGCCAAGAGGACGTTTTCTCAGCCACTGTCAGCAGCCCTGCATCTGCCCGGCTCTCGAGCTCCACAAGCTTGGGTCCCACAGAGGAGCCGATGGCACCCAGGCCCAGCTCTAGGGCGGAGACGCCCACACCAAACAGAAAGCAAGTAAGCAGAACCTCCATGCTCATCAGCAAGCCACACAGAATCCAGCCTCTCGCCGCCGCCGCCCTGGCCGCTGCTGTGGCCCAGCCTCAGTCTTCTCGCTGACATCACCGTGCAGTCCCTTCTCAACGCAGCAGCCCCGGGGACCCGGCTACTTTCTAAGCTCAACACCTGTCCCTAGCCCATCCGGATTCAGAGAAAAAGCCTCTGAATGTGCACGCCTAACACAGCTCCCAAGGCCCTAAGTCGCCTGGGCCAACCCTTCCCCACTGCGCCTGCAGCACCAGCCGCATCTTTCCTGGAAGCTGGCAACCCCGCTGCTCCCCAGGGCCTTTGCTTGTCTGTTGCTCCTCCCGCCAGGGCCTTCTTCAGCCGGACCCTGTCCCTCCCTGCCCTGGCCGCCCCCTGCTAAGCTGCCGGTCCTGGCCTTCTATCCTCCCCTTGATTTCTCCCATGTTGCTTATCGATGCCTGCCGTGTGACATGCTTGTTTCCTTACTCTCTCCACCGCCTAAAACCTGAGTTTTTATGTATTCTCTAACGTGTGGCCGGAAGGGGAGAGCTGGGGAGAAGTGGGCGGCTGAGAGACCCCACGCACCAGTGCAGGGTGGGCAGGTGTCGGTGGGGACCGGGATGGAGCTGGCCCTCGGGAAGTAAAAACTGCAATGAGTGGAAAGGCGGCTACACCAGCAGCCCAGCCGCATTGCTTGCCCAGGGCCCAGAAAACAAAACGCAGGCCCTGCTGACAAATTATTACAAGTGCCTTATATAGCAAGACCCTGTTTCAAAAAGAAAAAAAAACCTGAAAGTACCCTAAGATGTCGTAGCTGAGCATTAAGCAAGGGTGAGTCCCTTCGGAGCCCAGGGCAGCGGGCACAGACACTAAGCTCCAGGACCAAAATGCAGAGCCCCAGGTAGGACAGCGATTCGGAAACAGGTGCAGAGGCGGGAGCCGGACGTGGTGGTGCACACCTGTAATCCCAGCACTTGGGAGGCTGAGGCAGGAGGATCGTTGCAAGTTCGAGACCAGCCTGGGCTACAAAGTGAGCTCAAGGCCAGCCTGAACTGTACAGCGAGACCCTGTCTAAAAAAGACCAAAAAAAAGGAAACACGCAAAGAGGTGGTGCTCTTCTGAAACTGCAGCCCAGAGCTCCCGGCTCAGCTGAGGCCCAGCACATGGCCCTCCTGCCCAAGTGGCCGGAGGGACAGCCATCGCGTCCACAGCCCAGGCCGTCCCTACAGCCAGCTCCAGCATCCCTCCGGATACCCCGCCGTGGACTCATCGCCCTGGCAACCAGGTCTCCTCGGTAGCCTCACCAGTCTCCATCCCAGGAAGCTCCTGTAGCAACAGGACGGCCTGGCACCAGGGTCTCTACTCAGGGTAGCGGTCCTGCTGGGCATCCAGCTGCTCCCCCAAGCCAGGCCGCACAGCCCCTCTGCTCCCCCGTGGCACACACGGGGTGTGGGGTCACCCGTGGGCCTGCACCCTCGTTGTCGCTGAGCGCCCAACACCTCATCTCTAACTCCTTCGAAACAGCCACTGAGACTGCTGCAGGGAACGCTGGCAGCGGACACTGGGCACTTAAACCCACTCGCTGTCTTTCTGTTCAGCACGGAGAAGAAAAAACCCTTTTCTACCTTTCTAGCCTCCACTTGCACTCCTTTACCACGACTAGATCCAATTAATGCCTGCGATATTAATTAACACCACCTCACTGCCGTGCTGTGTTACCATGGTCCCGCTCACTGGTTCAAAATAACTGGCAGAAGAGGCTCCAAAAGTGTCAACATAGTTCAGGGCCCAAAGAAATACAAGTAATATAACTATATCATCATATATCATTTTTTGGTATAAAAATAAAGTAGTTCTCAACTGAGAGTGTGTTTTCTTCCAAGGAGACTCGTGGCAGCGTCCGGACAGGGCAGGAAGAGGCTGGAGAGCCCGGCAGATACCCTACAACCTCAGCCTCTTCCTGCCGAGGTCCAGAGGCTGTGGAATGGTCTACTCCAACAGATATTTAGCTGCTACCATAAACTGGAGCTCCCAGTTCAGGAACCCTAAGCCAAATATCTTAAAATGAAGAGTAGTTATTTTTTTATTTTAAGACAAAGATCTCACTCTGAGGTCCAGACAGGCTTTGAACTCACTATCCTCCTGCCTCAGCCTCCTGAGTAGTGGGATTACAGACAGGCATCTGTCACCATACCCAGCTAAAAGCCTTTATAACACCAGTGAAAAATCTGACTTACACTTTAATGGGGAAAGTGTAACATAATAAGTAGTAACAGTAGTAGTACACAAAATCGGAAGCATTTGATCAGAGGTGCAGAACTGCGGCCAGCAGATATTTAGGAGGACGCTGGGTCAGAGTGACCGCCGAGAGGGCAGGCAAAGGAGATGGCCCCCGGGGTAGGGCAGACCCCTGGGTGTGGACCACAGCCCAGCAGGTACGGCGCAGGGGATAAGTCGCTGCGCCCTGGGGACGGACCAGCAGGGCTGCTGCCAGACGTGGTCCAGAGCAAAGCCGGGGCCCCAGGAAGGGGTGCTCTTGCAAACACCCGCACCCTCTCCATCCGGCCACCGGCCGCGGAGGGAGCGCACCTCTCTCCTGCCTACCGTGAAGGTCAAAGGACACGAACCCCGCTCAGAGGCCCCGCGGCTCGGCGCCGTCCCGCGTGGCGTCCACGGGACCCCATGTGTCCCCAGCACCCCGGACGCCCCATAAATGCCTAACGACCCCGCCTGCCGGCCGGCAGGAACACTGCGGGACGACAGGTGTCACGTTCGCGTTGCCGGGAGCCCCGGTGCCCCCGCCGCGGAGTCGAAGGCCTCGGGCCGGAGCCGCCCCGCCCGCGCCCACTCACCGTGACCCCGTACTTGAGCGCCAGCCCGGCCAGCGTGTCCCCGGCGCGGACGCGGTGCTGCACGAGG